GTTGTTTTCGTTGGGGAACAGAGTATAGTCCATGTCATGCATCCAGCTTCCTGATGTATTGACTTCGTCCGTGCTGTAGAAGATATCCTCATCGATGCCGTTGCTCGCACGTAGGAAGTCTTTGTAGTCATCAGGAAGCTTTCCGTCAGGGAGCGCGACGACCGAATGCTCGTCGGGTGAGGAGAGGCGTTTTTCGAGGGCGGCAATCTGAGCTTCCGTTGCGCCGTCCTTGAGAACAGTGGGTATTGTATCTTCACCGCTATCTTCGCGTTCGGTGAGGATGTTTTTGTCAACCATCTTTACAAGTTCAGCCATCGTTTTGGATCGATACGGTCGAGTGGGGCCTTCGGTAGAACGCTTCTCGATGAGGGCGCAACCTTCTTTGACATATTCATCCACGTCAGATGCACGCACACCGAATGTATCCCCGAGCTTAACAGACGCGAGAACGGGCCCGATGCCTGGGCAATCCTCCAAGCCTTGGCGACGAAAGATGTAGTGCCTGGTCTCGTCACCGCTTCTATCTGGGTTGTCCCAATTATCCAGCAAGTACTGATATAGTTCTTTCATGTTATCTTCGACCAGACTGGTAGCTAGACGATGTTCGTCCGCAAGTAACGCAACCTGTGTCACCGCACCGAGCGTCATGGTTTCCCCGGCATGCCTGTAGGTAGCATCCGGCTTCATATTTAGGCGCTCGCGTACGGTTTCCACATCTTCTTTACTGAGCGTCCCTTCCTCAGCTTTCGTTGCGACGTTGTTCGGCAAACCCGCGGTGCTGATGCTATCCGCATCCGCGTCGTCTGCCTTGCGGGCCCATGTTGGGAAAGTGTCGCTAGTTGTCCATGCTCCTTGCAACTGCTCTTCGGTAGTGTGACCGTAGTAGTCCCAGGTTGTTGTGTCAAGACCGTACTTATGGATTGACTCGAGAAGTTTGTTGGCTTGGTGGGGAAATCCAAGAACGAACAGGTCCAGAGCTGCGTGCTGCGCTATCCTCGACGAGTTCAAATGCATGCGACAATTAAGAATGGAGGTCTTGGACCAGGGTATGAGAGGCAGGGCGCGTGCCATGATGTCGAAAGCGGCGTCCTGGGTGCTGCTGTGGGAGAGGATGAAGTGGCATTTTAGATCAGGGTTACATTTTTGAAGACCTTTGAAGCTGCTAGCCGTAGATGTCACTATGTGCCGGTATCGTGGTGTTTTGAGATTAGCTGCCAGGCTGCAGGCAGCATCTGAGGTGCGATGACATCATGGCTGAACTAGCCAAGGCAGCACGGGAATCCTACCAGCATGACAGCGTCTGTTACAACGCGATGCCATGCAACGATTGAACCTGTACTCATGCCATTGCTATGACAGCCATCCTAGAAGCCTTCAACGCGACGGGCCATGTCGTCAGGTGGCATCCACGGATACTCGGCCTCGGGGGACTCTGGAAGGTACCCCGAGATGCGCAAGCGAGCCTCGCGCGGTCTAGACGATGTGCGCAGATCCGTAAAACTAATGCCAGGGACGTGTAGGCGACACTACTAGTCGTATGAACGAGGTCGAAAGGAATGAACATTGTCGCTGCGGCCTCAGTCAGCAAAGCCACCGGATTGTGGCACAGCCGCGCGATTTAATCAACTGCCGCCTGGGCAAACTGTGCCAATGTCGGAGGTTCCGTCGATCCTGCAGAATTGAGGTTTCCGCTCGCGTAGACATTACAGTTTTTCGTACGGAAAAGCGTCGCCACACATCACATGACGTGCTGAGAAATCAGGGTCAGCTCTGGCTGGCTCCAAAACTTCGGCCCGTGGAGGTGGCGCGGCGGCTCTTGTGGATCTGGTGGGGTCGGTCTTAGGGTCCGATCCACAACTCAACAGCGTTGGATTCGTCCGTTCGCCATGCTTTCATAAACCTTGAACTACTCAATCTTGACCGGTCTTCAATCAAGTGTAATGGCGACCATGCAATCGCTGAAAGACAGTCGCGCGACGACGTCCTGTACTGAGTGTCAACGGAGGAAGCAAAAGGTGACGACACTCCACATTGGCCCTGCGTCTACCCCTTGAACTAATGACGCGGCTAGTGCTCGCGAGAATGGCCCTGTAATCACTGTCAGGCACGAAAAGTACCCCATCTTTGTCAATTCTCTGTCAAAAGAGGGCAGCAGGAGCCTTCTCCAGAGTCGTCTCGGTATGTAGATCGTCCTGCCTACCCCGCCATTAGCGGAACGCGGTAGTAACAGCGATTGCGCAGTGAAAATTCGGCATCCAGCATCAAAGGCACAAAACGAAGCGCTCCTGACTCTGCAGAGCCGCAATTCCTGTCGCAAGATGGCGAACAAGAAGAGCTTGAAGATGGGCTGAAAGCGTGGGGGTACATGCCTGGTCATGTGCACTACAAAGTAGGCGGGGTGGAAGAGGTAAGAGCATTTCGCAAAACATTGATATCAACTAACGCGTTCAAGAACGGTCCGCGGAAAGACTCACCGACAGAAAGCTCCGTCACGACGGATGTTCTCGAGAAAGTTCTTTCAGCCGTGCCACCAAGATCAATAACGGGTAGGCACAAACATCGCGAGATTTTAGCGATCCATTCTCTAACCACGAGCAGATGCGTTCGTCAACCACTTCCTCAATGTCGTCAACTACCGCTACACTGCAATATACGGGCCAACATTAGCCGAACAGTACGTCCAATGGTGGGCAGATCGCGGTGCCGGCAAGCAACTTTCTCCAGAATTTACCTGCCTGCTCTTAAGAATCTGCGCGTACTCAGTGCAGTACCTCACACCCGCACTTCGCAAAATGATCGAGTTTGAGCTGGCTTGCAATTGCCAGACTCTGACAGACCGATTCTCTGACGCAGCGGAAGAATTGAGCCGGAGCTTTGGAGCAGCGAGAACGAGCGTTGAACGCGTGCAAGAGCTGTTTTTGAAGTGCGTTTGGTTGAAGGCCGAGTCCAAGATCGTGGAGTCGTGGCATGCGCTTTCGCGCACGATCCGGGAAGCGCAAGAGCTGGGTATCGATAAGGATGGAGGTATCGAAGGCCTGTGCGAGTTCGACATAGAGATCAGGAGACGTCTCTGGACGTTGCTGTACATCTGGGACTGGTAAGTTCAAACCTTCGCATTCTAAGAGCATGACCTAATTTTCGTGCAGGCAAATGTCAGCATGGCTCGGCCGTCCAAACCTGATCGACCAAAAGAATCTCGACTTCAAGTTCCCCAATCTACGGCTCGACAAGTCGACCACGGAGCCAAACCTACTATCACCCTTCGCACACATCGCCCTTCAAGCAACCCTCGGCCGTAGGATCGCCGCTACCATGGGGAATGCCCAATCTGAACACGCCCTCTCGGACAAGCAGGTCCTGGCGATAGAAGCGGAATGCGAAAAGTTCATCGAAGAGCTACCCCCCATCTTCCGCTTCACAGACCCCGACACGTCATTTGATGAGTCCCATCCTTTCTTCGTGTTCCAACGCTGTCAGCTACACTGCGTCATCTTCGTAACGATGCTGAACTTCTTCAAGCCCTACCTGACCCGAGAACGGCGAGATGCGATAGCCGACCAAGACGACGAATTCCGCAAGAAAGGCGTCGATATCGCGTTGCGTCTTCTGAAAGTAGCGCGCCAGCTCTTCGACCACGAGTTCCCCATCAACGCGAAGTTCCACATGGTTGTCTTTGCGATCTTCGACACGGCGACCTTACTCTGCTCTGCCATCATCCATGACCGCGAGCACCTCCTACCTCATCGCGAGGAGATTGTTGATGCGATCGAGAGCTCGCTGGATATGCTGCATCAACTCAGCGGCACAACGAAACTAGGCGCTACATCGTACAACTTCCTCTTCAAGCTCGTGCAGGCCACGCCAGAGCTTTCGCGGTACTCATCCGCTAGCAAGCGACAACGACAAACTTCTTCCTCGGTTCCTACGACAACACCGCCGGTGCCGACGCACGAGCCTGCGCCTGTAGCGGTGATGCCACCGTTGAAGAACGTAGCGCCACCGGAGCCGACCGCTGCACCGGTACCTTCTACTGCTAGCGATCTTCCGTCGATGACCATCTCGGATGAGCTGTCCTTCGATATCGACCAGTTTCTCGCTCAAAATCCTTTTGGCACGGTTGGGGATCCAGCTGCCGTCGATATGGGTGGTATGGAACAGATTTGGGATTGGCAGGATTTGCATATAGATGTTTACGCGCAAGGAGAGCCAGATGTCTGGAATGGTACTGGTGATGGATCGTGATCATGCTCGGATCGGGATTTTGTCAGCGCTGTGTACCCCTTCCAGCACTGTTTCGAACGCGAAGCCACGGCTCCATCAGGGGGCTGAAGAAGGGACCAAGTTATCAGGTCTGGAATATATGGGCAATGAGTCGGTAGTCTCTGGATTCTGTGTTCGACTGCCGCTGCCGCAGGGTTGAGTTCAACTCGGTGGTAGACGGGTATGCACCCAGCGGTATAGGCCCTCGGACCTTGATCGCGAGCGATGATGCGCTCACACGCAGTACAGTCTACATTGCGTGTCTGTTTCTCGGGACGTTTTCTACGTTCACACAGTTTAGCTCTTTTGCGTACATCTAAGCATATAGTAATATCATACCATAGTCTTACTCACGCTGGCGCTCGAAACTACCTCGCCCCCGATGTGATGTCCAAAACATGCACTCACGATTGCAACATCCATAGACTCGGCATAAACAAAATGCAGACGCGAAGTTTGACGTTCAGAAAAAGGCGGACGGGGCTGAAGTTAAGTGTCGCAGGGTGGCTCAACCCCGAAAACCTTCGGAGGCCCTAAGTCGCCGCGAACATCGTCATGTGTGGCGGTGCAGGGAGACAAGCTTTTGTTTAGTAACTTCGTTTTTCTTTGCACATGGTGAGGGAAAAGCAATAGTGTTATTGTTGCTATACTCACTGCAAGCCACCATTTATCCATAGTCGATAGCCTCGCTCGCCCCCCAACACCACGCCAACCACGCACGAGAAGTTATACTCACGCAATCAGAACGGGGCTGATTTGCAACTCAACTTCCTCGCTTTCCTTGCCGATGCAGCATCCAGCTCAGCGGCCTTGCGCTTCTCCGTGGGCTTCCTGACGCGCTTCGGGCGTGGCGCCTCGTCCGTTACCAAAGCACTATGAGATTCCATGACCTCCTCCTTCATGACTGGCTTGGCCGATAGTCTCAGGACCAAGCGCGGATGTGTGACACGTCGTTCAGGCGTCGTGGGAGGCATGGCCGGAGGTGGCGGGATCCCTCCGACACCGTGGTCTCGTCCGTCTGATGTCGATGTAACAGCCTGACTCTCCGTCACTAGAGGAGTTTCTCTCAGATCGTCCAGTCCGATCTCTGCCGTGGATGTTGAACGCGATGTGTCGAAATACAAAACCTCCGGTTCTTGCCCTTGAACGCGTACCGCGGCGAAGCTGTTTTCCGTGCGCTTTTTCCACTCGCTCAATCCCATCAAGACCTTGGCCTGACTGCCTAGCTCTTTGCACTGCTTCAATGAAAGCCCCAGGAGTTCGTTATGTTTGTCGGAGAGAGCTTGGTAGTCCCTCCGCAGGAAACCGTATGATGAGGAAAGGACGTCGATCTGCTCTTCTAGGTCAAGGAAAGACTGTGCGCTGCTGATCTGTATGTTGTCGAGTTCTTGTCGAAGGGCGCGAATGCTTGATTTGGGGTCTATCGAAGACATTCGACGGCTTCCGTGGTCTTGGTCATCGTAGACTGTGGGTGGTGTGTTGTAACGGAGACGGACGATGCTACATGATGTCAGCAGGCCACTTCCCTGATCTGGATGTCCTCAACAACGTACTAATCCGCATCATCAGAGAAGTATTGACGGCAGCTCTCAGTAATGGACTGTTCGCTGTTCGATGGAGATTCGTATCCGATGATAGGGAATTTCTTGACACCCGTGATGTATGGCTCCCAGTCGCTATCCCTGTCGGACGGCTCACATAGAGAAGAAAGGTCGATGACATCGTGTCGACACACCTCTTGGTCACAGTAGTGATCATTGCGGGCTGCTGGCCATTTGGGTGTAGTTGCGACCGATCGCGACGCTGCAAAACGTTTCCGTTCATCAAGTAGCTTGTAGAAGGCTTCCACGGCTTCAGCGCTGCTCTTGCTGACGAGGGGTTCGGCGCCGGACATGTTGCTAGCTGATAGCAACAGATGATAGAAATGATGGTCGTGCTATTGCTGAGTGGTGTTGATGGCACTGTTGATGGAAGATGCTGGTGCATGTCACTAGAAGGAAGGCTGACCCATGATAGAGCGGATCAATGAGGAGGGCTACTACCTCGTCCAATTCCAGACGACGTTTGCCGTTGCCATTTGGGAGGAACACGCATCTCACCTCAAGGCAGCCTCGACGCAAGGCTGGAGCAGTTGGGGTGAGAGAGATGGAAAGATCGAATCAAACCTTATGTATCTTTGTAAGGCTGATACTGGGAAGATGCCGACACCGAGCGCAGAGTGCGCAAACATTCCTCAGTGACATGCATGCCGTCCTGCAGCTTTGCCTATGGTGTCGCTCGAGAGATGCAGTTGGTGTTAGATTCAGGCGATACATGGTGGGAAGAACCGAGAGATTCTTGATCTTGCTGTCGCCAAGTAATGTGGTACGTAGGTTACATTCGGGTAACAATACAGTACCGAGGCGATACGAGGTCAACAGAAAGGCCCTGGGTCCTTGTATCGAGCATGTCGCGTGACATTGCCCGTTGTCGATGCGACTTGCTTTAGGGCAGGCCCACCCTCGCGCCTACTCGGCACGTGCTGCCAGGGAAAGTGTTGCATTCGGAGGAGACCGGTGAACTTACTGCAGTGGTTGGCAGGTGTGGAGCCGGGCCAGGGTCCAACAACCTGCCACAGTGAACGGCAGATTTCTCGTTGCAATTCGAGCGTTTCGGTCTCGGTCTTTCCAGTAGATTAGCAGTGGCAGGCCGCGCATTCAGGGAATGTCGATCTCCCATCAATGTTGGGGTCGAAGGCATCCCGCGCCTTCTGTGATTGATATCTCTGGGACGTCATGCCTGATCTGGGCATTCAACGAGAACACTCGAGCCACCCCGCTTACTGTCGGTGTGATTAACGTCTGGCGATGATTTGAGGCCGGTCTTCTTAGCCATTTCGCGTGTGCGAAGCCTGCGAAAGTAAACGTAATCGGCACGTCTTTAGTCTAGTCGCGTTTCGGCACGCGGCAAAATTCGTCGGGTCCGCCACAAGCGAACAGCCTCGCGACGCGAGGTCAACATCGTAGTAGCAACGACGATCTGTGCTGGTAGCCATCAACGTCAACCGATGCACCTGGTCTGTGAGCTGTTGTGTTCATCGAGGGCTCAGCGTAAGGTTCTGTCATTGCGCGCATCAGGCGCGCTGCTGCAGGCGCACCCACGCACAAGAAGAGAGACTGCAAAGCTTACCAGACCGATGGTATTAGCTAAGGCCAAGCCTAATAGGATCGAGCGAACCACAGAGGCGAGGTGGGATGATCTTTGCAGTGAACGGCAGAGGAACGTGATGGGGTCTGATGCTTGGTCCACCAAGCACTACGTCACGGCGCGCCTTAATGCCGCTACCTTGGCGCACCGTACCAACGACTCCACACCATCTGTCCGTTCCAAAAGATTTTTTGACAGGGGCGGCGCCGGGGAGAGCTGGAGTATATGAGGGGCCATGACCCTCCTCCAGGACCGAGCTCGTGTAACTCTTGTCATCAATTTCCTGCGACCCTGCTGTCGCGGAAGCTTGCCACATCCAATATACAAGCTTTTCCAAGCCTCACAAGCCTTTAGCATCCTGCTTGGGTGAAGACGCCGTGACGGTTCGACACATAAACGACAACGCCACCAGATTACAGCGACATCGACGACTCGACGACTCGACGACCCTGGACAGTACCATCCCAATTGCGACTGCCCCATTATCGCACCCCTTCTTACCATTGCGCCAACCCCAAGCAACAACTTCACGCCCATCCTCCATCGCGGCACCACCACCATCATTACGCCAAGATGGTCCGAACTATGTTTGTGAATCCCTTCAAGGCTCATCATGTCGACGAATTCCCCGGCGTCCATGTGCCTCTTGATGACTCGACCCATCGCGCTTCTGTAGCTTCCACCCACCCACGCGCCTCCCTCGCTGCAACAGAGAAAACCAAAGACGACAAACCAGAAGACGGCCTCACGCGCCCTGACAGTAATGCATCTAGTGGTGTTGTTAACCATGGCTTGACAGTCGCAGCATTGAAGGCAGAGATTGAAGCAGAGGTCGCTGCTTCGGACAACGACACGCCATATGACCGTACGTCGTGTGGCTTTTCCTATCACCTCCGGTAATTTTCACGAGGAAACAGTACTGATCTTCCACAGGCAAGTCCAAGGTTATCAACAAGGCCTTGCAGGATATGGGCATGGGCCGCTACCAATGGCAGCTTTTTGCTCTTTGCGGTGGCGGTTGGATGGCCGACAACTTGTGGCTGCAGGTGCGCATATCAAATTCCTCATCAACCAACAGGACTTACCAAGAAACAGGGTGTTGCTCTTACACTACCACAACTCAGCGTTGAGTTCGGTGTCAGCGAGACGGAAGTCAGATACACCACACTAGCGCTCTTCCTTGGTCTCTGCATCGGCGCTTCCTTCTGGGGTACCGCGTCTGACATTATCGGTCGTCGTCTCGCTTTCAACTTTACGCTTTTCCTCGCTGGTGTCTTTGGTCTTGCATCCGGCGGTGGGCCCAACTGGATCGGCACATGCGCACTCTACGCCTGCATTGGTCTTGGTGTCGGTGGTAACCTCCCAGTTGACGGCGCTTTGTTCCTCGAATTCCTGCCTCAAACATCTGGAAACCTACTGACGCTACTTTCCATCTTCTGGCCCGTCGGTAACCTGGTTGCTTCGCTCCGTAAGTCGATACCGCTAGCTGTACTTATCAAATACTAACGACCTGCAGTGGCATGGGCATTCATTCCCAACTTCTCATGCGCTGACGGTACTCCCGTCGGACAATGCCGCATGGAAGACAACATGGGCTGGCGATACCTCATCCTGACTCTCGGCGCCATCACATTCTTCATGTTCATCTGCCGCTTCTTCCTCTTCCATCTTTACGAGTCACCCAAGTTCCTGTTGTCTCGCGGTCGCCAAGCCGAGGCCGTCGCCACCGTCTACGGTATTGCGCACTACAACAAGACGCACACTTGGCTCACCGAGGACATCCTCAACCAAATCGGCGGCGACCAGGAAGTCACCGGAGAAGATGTCAAGCTCAGCGTCTTCGAAATCGTCAAGCGCTCTCTTAGCCGTTTCTCCATGAAGCGCTTCATAACTCTCTTCCAGGACAAGAAGATTGGTCTTACCACTGCTCTCCTCTGGTTCCAATGGTCGACTATCGGCATGGCCTACCCGCTATTCAACGCCTTCCTCCCACAGTACCTCAAGAACTCGGGTGGCGGCGTCGAGAACGACATCAGCATTGTCTACCGCAACTACGCCATCACCGCCATCGTCGGAGTTCCCGGATCCATCCTCGCCTGCTACACCGTCGACCTCAAGTACGTTGGCCGCAAGGGCACAATGGCCATCGCCACCGTCATTACCGGTGTTTTCGTCTTCCTCTTCACCATCTCTTCCGACTCCGACTTCCAGCTCGCTTTCACTTGTCTCGAGGCTTTCTTCCAGAACATCATGTACGGTGTCTTGTACGCGTACACACCTGAAGTCTTCCCTGCCCCAATCCGTGGCACTGGTACTGGAATGAGCAGTTTCTTGAACCGCGTTGCTGGTCTTTGCGCGCCTATTGTTGCTATCCAGGCGGGTGGAAGCAACCCCAAGGCGCCGATCTACGCCAGTGGTGGATTGTTTATTGCGGCGTTCTTTAGTATGTTGGTGTTGCCTATTGAGACGAGAGGCAAGCAGACTTTGTAGATGGTGCTCATTGAGCACTTGACGGCAGGACCGTATAGCGCCGTTGCATGATATGTAGCGCTAAGAATTGACGAGATCGAATTCTATGTTGAAGCCATCTCCGCGTTTCCATCCTTAGACATCCGTGACCCCACTCACAGCCTCGCCCTCACCCCCCCTAAATTCAAACCCCACCCCCTCAACCACCTCTCCACGAGCTCCTCAGTAACATTTTTAACCTCCGGCAACATCTCCAGTGCATTTTCGTTGTGGAAAATCAACGCCTCACCTTCCCTCCCCTCCCTTCCCTCCATCAAAAACGCATGCATCTTGAACTTCTGCGGGTCCAACATCCCCAACCACTGCGGCAAGCTACATTCCCTTACCTCAAGTCCAAACCGCCCAACCAACACCTTCTGTAGCAACGCCCAAGGCGCAGGACGGGGGTGCATCATGTTGTAGACTTTAACATTGTCTGCAGATGTGTTTTGTTGGGATAAAGTGACATTGGTAATGCCTTCCGCGAGGGTGTCAACAGGAATCCAATCCACAGCATTCATCCTCACGGGCCAGTACCCCAGTTTCTGACTTGTCTTGAATATAACGTACAGCCAACCCTGAATTGGCCACTGCGGCGCATTGGATATGGCGGATGATGCACCACCGATCTGGCCCGCGCGTACAATAGCCACGCGTAATCCGTGCTGTTGACCTGCTCGGGCGAGGAGTTGCTCCGCAAGACATTTACTCTGGCCATACCCCGTGTTCGCTGCACTGGCGAAGTCCCAAGCAGGGACTTCGGGGATGAGCGGTGTGGAAGGGTGCTGAGTTGGGTGATTCATTATCGAGGTATTCGACGACATAAACACAATACGCGGGTTCAGGTGGCTGGCCACACATGCGGTGATAACGTGTTGAACAGCGTTGAGAAGGGGTAGGTAGCCAATGAGAGGCGTAGCCCAATTCGCATTCCACGCATTGAAGATGACTTCTGAGACGCTGGTTGTGAAGTGTGTGTATTGGGTGGGGGATAAGCCGAGGCTGGCAAGTGTGATGTCGGTTGTTAGGAAGGTGAGGTGGGTGAGGTCTTCGTTGCTGATGTGGGTGAGAGACGAGGTGGTGCGTTGTTGTGCGTCTTCGCTACGGTTTAGGCAGAGGATGGTGGTGTGGGGATGTTTTTGGAGAAGAGAGGCAGTGATGTAGGGGCCTAGGAAGCCGGTGGAGCCGATGATGGCGATG